CCGGACGGCCTCACCAACGGCCTGGGGCCGGGGCCCGAGCCCGCCGCTCAGACCGCGCGCGCCCAGTGAGCTCTTTGCAGAGACGCTAACGTGCCCGCGGTGGGGGGGCGGGGGTCTTATGAGCTTGTGAATACTGACATCTCATTCCAAACTTGACTTTTACTGACAAGTGCATGAAACACCGCGGCTAGCATGCTAGCTCATATTCTATCGTTTGAAATGTTGTGAAGTTGTCAGGTTGTTTACACTCTGTTTTTCAACTGAAGCTCAGATGACTTTTTTAATATTCAAGGATTTATTTATTTATTTTGCTTGAAAGATTTTTTTTCTTGTTCGAATGGCTAGCGCATTAGCAGTTAGCAAGGCAGCCCGTGCATGACGACTTCCTTTTATGCTCATGTTTGTTTGCGCCGCCTTGGAAACACGCTTAGCTTAGCTTAGCATCACAGTCTGGTCGAGTCGGGGAGACTTCCTGGTTTTTGCAAGGCAACGGGAAAACTCCAACAAGATGTCAACGGGGAGGCCGCAACGCTGCATTTGCGTCCAAACGTGAGGAAGTGTTTGCATCGCTTCCTGTTCTACCTTTGTCATTGATTTAGCTTCACTGCCTGTGGAGGATGCTAAGCTACGCTAACATGGAGCAAGGACAACTTCCTGTTACCTTTTAGGGGGGGGCGCTTAAATGTAAATAGCGTTCTTGTGTTTGTCGTGTGATCACATGATTCAGACCGGAAGTAAAATGTCTTCACCATAAGGTTGCCTTGTCGTGTTTTAATGGCGTGACCCCGAGCGGCCATGTTTGTAGCTTGGCCCTGTTTACGGCGTGCGCAGCGTCTGTTGGTACACGCGCCCCCGCTGGACCGTCCCGCACGCGTACGACGCGGCAGAAGCGGGAGGCCGTCCCGCCACCTCCCACACCTCGGTGGCGCCGTGGTCGCCGTCCGGCCCCGCCCACGTCCCGGACGCCATAGCGGGCGGCGTCAGCGGCTCGTCGTCCGACCACCAAAGGACGGTAGGCGGAGATTCGCACCCGCTGACCAAGCAAACCAGCAGGCGGCGCCCTTCCCGAGCCCCGCTGAGCGGGGCGGAGGCCAGGAGGGACACGGACGGGACTCTGTCTGCCGAGAGAACAAGAACAAAAAAAAAAAACAACGAGCTGGAGACGTACGCTCGACAGAAAGACACATTTACATGCGCGGTGCAGATTTTCCAAATGCGGTACGTGGGCTCCCTCCAGTGTTGCATGAAATCATCACGGCCCGTACGCTTCAACGCGTCTCAGTGCAAACGTATCCTGTTTTCGGTCGCAAACGCCGCCTTTGTTGACATGCTCTTGTGCGGAGGGTTTTTCTTTTGTTGTTGTCGTCCGTTTGTGTGATTTTGGGTGTAATTTCACTTTCGGCCACGAGATGGCAGGATGCTACTTTCTACGCCTCTGCCTAGATTTTGCTGAAGGTACTTTAATGTCCAAGCTTCTCCCATCCTGCTTTCGATGCCTCACGCAAAGCCACGATCGGAGGGAGATTTCCCCGCGTACGTCTTTGGCTACCATGATTGAGGCCGACCGTCACATGACAAGTTGCGTTTGGTCGTTTGGAAGCAACGGGATTTGTTGATTGCGAGGTTTACCTTGCCGCTGCCGCGGATGAGGATGAAGAGTTCCGCCGGGTCCGAACGCTTGCGAGCCGGGCGAGGCGAGACACACGTTGACGTTTGGAGACTCGATGGAGCTGCCGGACGGAAGACCGAGAAGACGGTGAGAGCGGCGAAAAAGTCAAAGGCCGAAATGGAGTCTGCGTTCGGGCAAAGGCGTTTTCACCACAGCAGCAGCAGCAGCAGCAGCGGCGGCGGCGGGACGAGGCGCGCGTCCATCGGTGCGGCGGCAGGATCCACCTTCACAAAAACACGTGAGATTAGACACGAGCACCAAACGGTCGCTGGGTGGCGACTTCCCGCCGCATCCGCTGCTCCTTCTGGTGGGGGGTTTTTTTGGGGGGGGGGGGGGGGCGCGGAGGGGGAGGGCATAGAATGCGGCCGTCGTCTGGCGGACACAAAGCAAGAAGAAGAAGAAACTTCTTTGTCTGCTGCTACTTGGGAAGTCGCTCGGATGGTTTTGGCAGAGGAGATCCGCCCGCCCGGGAGCCTGCGCAGATCGGCGCTCGACAAGCGCCGCTTTGCCGTCCACGTTCAAAAACTGTCGTCGCTTTGGCACCGGCGCTCGCGCTAACGCGCCGCTGGCGTTTTCCGTGCACGCTGCGCCGATGGATTGCTGAATATCGACGGCTCTTTTCAAGGAGGTTCCGGTGACGATATTCGCGACGGTCGCACTCGGATTTCAAAGGCCGACGACGGTCCCGGTCAAAGTCTCGGCGCAAACGAGGAGCTCCGAAGCGTCAAACCTCCGCCACGTTCTTCACCTCGCTCAAGGCGGGCGGAAAGAAATGCGCAACAGGTGAGGAGGATTCCAACGGGAAAAATCTCCTTCTCAGAATGTCAACGCTGCAAGGCGGCATCGCGGAAGCGACGGGAGGGCCTCCTTTTGGTCAACTGCTCAGATACGCGCGCGCGGAAAGCCAGATGTGGTCAAACAAACAATGCCAGTTATTGCTGCGCGACAGCAGAGGGGAAAAAAACAAGCGCGCTAATGTGGCGGCAGCTGCGCGCGCGCCTTTGCCCCCCAATAAAGTTGTCGTGTGCCGGACGGTTTTCGACTTTGAAAATAAAATGACAAAGCAAGCATTTTGGACCGTCTTATCGCGCGGGTCAGAAAAAAAAGAACTTGAACCTAAAGGACAATCGGCTCGAACGGACGCGCGTCTCCATCTTTGCGCTCAACGCGGGTTCCGCCATGCTCGAAAACAAACGTCGTATTCGTTCTTCAGCAAAACCTCACCGACGTCACCATTATCGTCGTCGTCGCCAGGACGCCAACATCCATTTTGTGTGGCGTCTGCCCTCATTTTGCTGAAATTGTGAGCGCGAACGAGAAGAAGAAGAAGAAGAAGAAGAAGAAGGGATTGCCATGACTTTACCTTGCGCGCTGGCTCCTTGCTTTGTTTTCCCCTCACGCGTCGGCGACGGTTGGCGGGGAGAAAAACAGGAAAGAGGAGGCGGTGCTTTTTGGGGGAGTACGACGAGGGAAGCGGGTGCGCTGGCGTCGACGAAAGGCCGCGTGCGGCAAGCCCGGCGCCCGCGTGGCCGCCCTCCTACCTGCGGGCATCCCGTCAGGCCGGCGGGGGGCTAAATGGGGTGCCGATGCCGCCCCGTACCGTCGCCCTCCCTCGAAATGAGGCTCGCTCAGCGTGCGGGCGACCTTCCCTTCCCTTCGTGGCCGACGGGCTCGCTTCTGCGCTCTTTTGAGCAGAACACGCGTGCGCCTTGGGGGCGCCAAATTGGAAGGGACGAAAAGGAAAAAGCAAGCAGTGAGGAACATGAAAACGTCGTCAACTTTGGTCGTGGTGCAAGCCCGCCAAATTTCACGTCGGCTTCTCTTATTGGACGCGTTCGTGGTCGTTCTCTCCAGTTCAAGTCGACCGAAAAAGGGTCACGTTCGAAAGCAACGAGCAGCTGTGAGTTCAACGGCAATCCAAATTGATTGTGGTTGTTTTTCCCCCATGCTCTGAAGGCGACCGGCAACGCCGACAGATTCCGAGACCCCCCTCCCCCACCACCCGGCGTACGTCTTTTGAACTTGTGCGGCGACGTCAGGCTTTGAAAAGGGCGTCCGCTGAACATCATAAATCACGAGCAATCATCATCCGTCGTCTTTTCTCAAGGGTCAAAGGTCACGCACTTGTCGACCGGTCCGGCGAGCGCAGGCGGAAGACGCGACGGCGGTCCGCGAGGGGGCGCCAGAGTCACATCACGGCCACTCCAAACCAAGGGCGGAGGGTCACCTTTGACCTCCGACGGCACGAGCGAGATCAATTGATTGGCCGTTCTCGCCGGCCGCCTCGCTTCTTTTTTCCCCCTCGCATCGCAGTGGCCAAAAACATTTTCCACGAGCGGCCTCTCACGCGAAAATCATTGTGTTGGCGTGTCATCGTCGCCACGGTAACGGCGGCGCATCAACAAACGTTTCCTCGTTCGGAAACTTGGGAAGACCATCCGAAAGGCTCGCTCCTTTTTTCCTTCCTGCCTTTGAGGCAGGAATGTCAAAGCGCTGCCAAATGTTTCCACTCCCCGCTCAGGTCAGCCGGTTCACACGCGAGCATTTGACACGCGCGCGCAAATAGAAACGGAGACCCGCAGGCAAAGGCCGGACGAGACGCAAGCGGCCGACCGAAGCGCCGAGGAGAACGAGCGGACCCCAAAAAACAAACGGGACCGACGCCAGTGAGAAAGGGGCGGGCGAAACAGAAATCAAAACGCCATCGGCAAAAAGACGCGCCGACGAGAAACGGGCCGATGTTGGCGTCGAATGAAAAGCGAGCATGAGGTCACGGGCCTCGCGGATGCAGCGCTTCTGTTTTGTTTCCTTTCCTTTTTCTCAAAACGAAGCCACTCGTCACCCGACTGTCATGGTTGCGCGTGCGGCCAACAGGTGGCGCCGCGAGGCTCCGCCTGCAGCCGCACGCCTGTCGCTCATTGCGTCACGAGTCGTCTGTTTGAAAAGGACTCCCCGCGCGACCGCTCGGCGTCGGCTCATTCTTTGCTGTGTCGTGTTTGTTTTTGGGCTTCGGCCACGCTTTGGTTTGTTACTTGGGACTCTTTTTTGTTTCCGTGACTTTGTTGGTTTGGATTTATTTTCCTTCATACAATTTGTCGACTTCACCCTGCTCCTCCTGCGGTCACGGCAAAAGACTTTGATGGGGAAATCGACCCCCGGCTCTCCGTCGCATTCTGCCGGCATCAAAAGTGTGCGAGGGGGGGGGCAAAGAGGATTTGACCAGTCGTCAGCAAAAGCGGGGCCGGGCTGAAGGCTTTTCTTCATCTTCTCTCAAACGTCGTACTTTGTGCAAACCAAATGTGTTGTTGCTCGTGACATCGGAATCACATCACAGCAGAATAATCAGGAGGCCCACAGAGCCACGAAGGGAACCAAAACACACACACACAAACTGCTCACGCGGGAGGCGGCTGACGGCTTTGGTTTTTCTTCTGTTTTATTTTCGAGGGGTACGGAGAGCAGCTGGAAAGGAGCGGAGACCGACAACACTGAGCAGGTTCTTCTCGCGCGCCAAAGTTTTCCACGTGTCCCGCGCGAGCGCAAACGAGGACTGAAAGGAGCCCGCCGAGGGGGGGGAAAGAAGGTGGGGGGGGGGGTGTGGCGTGGTGTGGGAGGAGGGAGGCCGAGGAGAGCGGAGGCGAGGAGGCCGCTCCCCAGTTGCCGCGGGAGCGAGCCAGCGAGCGAGCGTGTGCGTGCGTAGTGGAGCGAACTCGGAGCACCCAAGTCATGACGGCGGCGGCGGCGGCGGGGTCCAAGTCCGGCGGCATGGGCACCGGCACCAAGGCGGCGCTGCTGGCGCTGGCCCTGTGGTCCCTCATCTCTCTGGTGGTCATCGTGGTGTGGTCCACGTCCCCGGACCTGAAGAGCTCGGCCCGCTGCCGCCAGGACCTGCGGCAGAGCCACGAGAAGATCCTGGGCGCCGAGGCGCTGTGGGCGCGAGACAAGGACGAGCTGGAGCGGCGGCTGGCCGCGGCGCACGAGCGACTCGAGCGGCACGAGGCCGCGCTCGCGCTGCTCGACGGGCGGCTGCGACTCGCCAACCGGACCCTGGACGCCTGCGTCGCGCGCGAGGTACGCGCGCGATGCGCTTCGAGCCGTTACGATCGCCTTTCGGAAGAACGTGTGTGTGTGTGTGTGTGTTGTTACGGCTTCCCGTTACGCGCGTGCGCGTTGCATGTCGTCTCTCATCTGGGAAATGAAACAAGAACCGTTCGCAAAAGCTAACAGCGCGTGCGAGTCGGGGAAATGTTGACACTTTCCTCGTGTAGGAGCACCGTGGCGGAAAAAGTGACAGGATTGACGGGGGGGAAAAAAAGGAGACGCTTGAAATAGAAGCGGCGCGGCCGCGCGCGTTGGCGGTCACGGGACACGCCCACGAAGGGCCAAACGGCAAAGTGATCGGAGAGGTCGCCTTTCTCCCGCCGCATCTCCGAAGCAAACGTGACAGCAAACGGACAAACGTTGACGGGCCGCGTCACGCCGAAGCCTCATTGCAAAACGGAGCCCATTCGTCTTTGGCCTCGACGTGTTCCAAAGCGGCGAAACGACGCCGAGAATTGCCCCCGAGGCTCTTCTCGCGAGCGCTTGAGTTGGGAGTGGCGTCCCCCCCGCGAGTCCCGAGCCGAGAATGGGCGCCTTGGAAGCGCAGTGGAAAAGTCTTCCGTGGACTGGACTTGTTGAACAACGAGATAGCGAGGGACCGCTGCGGGGACAAAACAACAAAAAGCAAAGCAACTTCTCTCTGTGGCCTTCTCATCTGCACGCGGCGCTTTGCTTTCGTCATCGACGTGTTCCACACGAGGGCCACGGAATTTAGGAGCTGTGCTCTAAAACCTCCCGTTTCCCTACTCTGCAGTAACGGAAGACGACACGCCCAGGATCTTAACGCCTAATTTCTTGAGCGCCAGTCCTAGTTGAACTCGGTTCATTTCTCAACTGAACAACCTTGAGCAGAAACAAGAGATCCGAGAGCCCCCCGCCCCCCTCCCTTTCCTTCCTGGTCCAGTAGTTGTTGCCGCGTAGCTGGTCCGCCTCCCACAAGGCGGCAGGAATGTTTGCCTTGGCTCGGGCGGGCCGCCGTTCTCGTGCCAAACTCGCGTCGGCGGCAGAAGCGGATGGGATTGCCGTTGTTGTTGCTCTCGATAAGCATCCCGTTGTCACGGGAACTGACCAACGGCGGCTTCTGAAGATGGAAAGTTTTCGAGCCCGGACACCATCTGTTATGACTCAATGCCAGCCCGGACTGATTGGGAACGGAAGCCGAGAGAACGCAACTGATGCGAACCGCGCGGACCCCAAGCCAATGGAAGGGAAACCCCCCAGCCTCAGCCTTCTCACCCCTATGAGTTCAGCCTCGCCGTTTCCTGCTTCGCCATAATCGATGCGAACATGCTCACGCTAGCATGTTCAGAGCTCTTCATTTCAGTTGATGAAGTGGCCGGGTCCAAATTCGCAGGCAATGTCCTTGGAAGGCCGCATGACATCACTTCCGCACGTGCTTCCAAGTTCTAGATAAACAATTTGCGGCCTGGGTCCGTTGGGGCCTTCCAAAGCCTCGTGTCGCCTCCACATAAACCGTGCCTGGCAAATTTGGACCGGCTTGATGTGACTTCAGACACAACGTGCGGTCGAATCGCATCGGAAGCGGCGTCGTTCGGCCGAAAACGCGGCTTTCTCAAGACCTGGGCTGTGAATTTGGAGACAGCCTCTGTCTGCATATAAACGTGTGTGTGTGTGTGTGTGTGTGTGTGTGTGTGTGTGTGTGTGTGTGTGTGTGTGTGTGCGTGCGTGTGTGCGCGTGTGAGTAGGCGGTCCTTCTGGCCAACATCAGTGTGCTGCGAGAGGAGGCGGCGCTTCTGCTGCAGACGCAGCTCAACTTGACCGATCAACTGCAACGTGAAGAAGGTAAGATGGCCGACAGGGGCGACGGTCCCACGACGGACCCGCCGGCCGGTGACCCGCCAGCACTCGGCCCGACGCTGTCCTTTGCATCCAGACCACGCGGAGGCGCTGCAGCACAACCTGACCCAGAGCGACCACCGCGCGGCGGCTTGCTCCAGCCTGAAGGCGGCCGCCGACAGCCTGGCCGCCGCCGCGCAGACTCAGACCCGCGCCTGCGATGCCGACCGCGAGTTTCTGCGCAAACAGCTGTGAGTTTGCACGCAACATTTTCAGCGAGAAGGAGCTCCCGGAGGGGGGCTACCGGCAGGGGGGGGCGCACTTTGAGTGGCCCTTTGAGACATTTTTTTGATACCCTCTCCCTCGGCCCCCTCAAGTCTTCAGTAACCGCTCATAAACGTTCAGTACGTGCTCTGTGGAAAAGAACTCCCCGGGGGGGAAAAAAAAATGGAATATATCCAAAAGTCCCCACCCCCCCCTCCCGGGCCCCTCGCTCGCTCCGTCAATAGGCGTGTGTTAGCGTATGCTTTCATTTGTTTACGGGCGTGTTGGTGTGCGCTCGCGTAGGGTCAAGTGTCAAGAGGCGGCATCGGAAGGCCC